TTATCATGTATGATGTTTCAAAACATGTGGTGATTGGCTTTAAGCTCAGGGCTTTGCACCTATCAGACTGTGGCATGTAAGCTATGTCCCCAGCTTGCTTTGCTTTTAATAGGAGATAACAAAATATTCAGGCCACCCTTGACAATAATCCTCCTATACATGCTTCCCATATAGCTGTAATGGCAAACAGAGACACCAGGCCTAGCATTTTTACTGTTTGATATGAGGCTTCATAAACTTTGTGCCTGGGCTGGCTTTGAGTCATGACCTTCAAGATCTCTACCTCCCAAGTAGCTAGGGATATAGTCATGATGTGTGTGTTTCTTATAATAACTGAAGACACATACAATGATATTTAATTCTGAAATTATTGAACAAAAGTGGTAAGAACAAAAGTGGATATTTATATATCTATGCATATATAAGTAAGCATAGCTAGACATACAAGAAGATTCAGTGTATAGATAATTATTGCTTTGAAATTTTGAGTTTATATTACTAGAATATTCTCTTACACTTCAAAGGAACCCAGCAGACATTTTTTTATTTTATTTTTTTAAATTTAATTTAATTTTATTTGTGAACATACTGTACAGAGAGGTTACAATTACATGGGCAGGATAATGTGTACAATTCTTCCCAAGCATCCAGCAGACATTTTTTTAAAATCTACTTTTGTTTTAATTATCACTATGTTTCTCAATGTGTGTAAAATATTGGGTACCACACCTGATAAAATTTTGTACTTTTGATAACCAATATTCACCCTGAAAATTATTCTGGTAATATATGAGAGGCAGTGTATCATGTCAAAACAGATTCAGATTTCTTTACTTCAATTAATCTTAAGGTGTTTAAATCATGTAGTCATTTTTAGACATCTTTGCTACTTACTAATTATTATTAGGAAATTATTAGATAGCTTTGTAGTTATTAAAGTATTTAAAACTAGTCATTCCAACTTTATTTTACATTACTTCAATAGGTGGAACCTTTGGTCAAGACAAATTGCCCAATGTCTCACAAATATACATCCACATTTTATCAGGTACCATTTTTTACTTCTTTTTTACTTAAATCTTAATTGTACAAATGAGCAATGAGCTTTCAATAACTATCTCTTGAATGAATTAATGACAAAACTTCATGTTTTACTAACTTACGATTAGAAGAAAAAAGGCAATGTATTACTGGATTTGGAATGAAAGACAAAAGATTCTAGTTACATTCCTTTCCTAATGTGTGTGTGTGGAAGGCAGATTTGTTAAATTCTTGAACTATGTCTAGAGTAACTGCTATAAACAATCATAAACTCAAAAGATCAATATGATTTGTAAAGTTATTAATTTCTCCTGCAAAAACTCATACTTTGAGTTATTAAGTGGGAAAGTAATTATGAATGCAAAAATCATTTAGTAATATAAACTCTTTTTCTTAAATATTACATAAATGAGGAAATTTCACTTAAGCATTGATAGGAATAAAACCTTTTTCCATTGCTTTGTAAACCATGTGATATGTTAGAAAAAGGTGGGAAGGGTTGGGAAGAGGAAACAAAGGAAGAGGCAACCATGCTTGATAAGAAATGTACTCATTAAAAAAAAATTAAAAAAAAAAGAAATGTACTCATTATCTTGCCCATGTAATTGTAACCCCTCTATAAGTTATTTTCACAATAAAAAAAAATCTCAAAAAAAGAGACCGGCTTATATTAGAGTTAATGGGAACTAAAAGGAAAAAGACATCAACTTCAGGAAATTCTCTATGGAAAGATAGATGGTTGGTGCTCTAAAAATATGTTGGTTCTTGTTTTATTGACACAGAGAAAAGGAAGGCAATTCTGCTTGTGATTGTTTTAAAATATGCCACAGGAACATACAACATACAACAAAAATGAAAGCAACATGTATTAGTATTTAAAGTTACAATATTCTAGATAATGTATCACAGGCTCTCTATACTTATATTTTTACTCATTTCCTCCTCACTAATACCTATGAGATAAACATTATTATCATTCCCATTTTTTTGTGGAGATAATAAACTCATCCCTAGAGGTTAAATAATTTACACAAGGTCATAAAACCAATATGTGATGGTGGAACTGGGATTTTAAATTTGACTTTATCTGATTATAAAGAATACATGTTACAATATTATAGGAACATTTAAAGAGAAATATCTAGAAAAGTTCAAAGGCTCACAAGGAATTTTACAGCTGTATCTCATAAACTAGTCTCTAGTTTTGGCTTGTGAAGCAAAAAGAAATATTTTAGCTTTAACAAGGTGACAAGTTTTGAGAGAGAGAAACTAGAGGAAAAAGCTTTCAAAATTTCAAAGCTGTAAGTGGTTGGCCTACAGCCATGGGAGTCTAGGATCTCAAACCTTTGAAGGTTAAAAGATTTCTATACACTTATAGGATAAGCCCAGTATTTTAGAGGGAAGGTTTCTTACAAGTTGAACCAGTTAGCTGCCATGCTTTTTACTCAGCTGATCTACATTTGAATCAAACAACAACTGTACAGTGTATGTATTCATTTTCTCAGTACATGGGTTTGAATTCATGGCCACTTACTCCCTACCCAGGTGCTCTGTCATTTGGAGCCATGCCTCCAACTCTTGCTTGTACAGATGGAATCTAGCAAAATCTCCTGCTAGATCCTCCAGATCTCAGAAGCTGGTATTGTACTTGTGAGCCACAAATGCCAGCCAAGGTATGTATATATGTATATGTGTGTGTGTATATATATACATATATATATAAAATTATTTCTTTTTTAAAGTAATGAGTCATGATTCATGTCAGCTCATACTCTTTACCATTTTATAATGCTATGTAAGTGACTACCATAATGTAGTAGTACTTTATGCATAGTCATGTTGTTATATAAGAAAAACTATTTTTCTAAAGTGGTTTGTCTTAAATTGTCACAGTAAAATTTTAGAGATCAGTGGTATTTGCAATGAAGTTACTTAGTGATGACTAATTGAAATTACCTATAGTGAGAATGGCATTTTAGTTTCTTAGAGAATTAACTAGAAATGAGCTTGCTTTCTTTTTGTGTTTTTTGTTTTGTGTTTTGTTTTTGTTTTTTGTTGTTGTTGTTGGTGGTGGTGGGGTTTGAACTCTAAGGCTGGGGCGCTGTGCTTGTCCCTGAGCTCTTCAGCTCAAGGCGAATGCACTACTACTTAAGCCACAGCACCACTTCCGGTTGTCTGGTAGTTAATTGGATATAAGTTTCACGACTGTCCTGCCCGGAATTTTGAACCGCGAACCTCATATCTCAGCCTCCAGAGTCGCTAGGATTACAGGCCTGAGCCACCGGCATCCGGTGAAACGAACTTTTTCTAATGATCTCATACACTTTAAACTATATGATTCAGTGTCATTTAAGTAGAAAATAAAACGTGTCTTTTACCAGACAGTTGTTGATTTATTGAGCTACTTATGTTGAAAACTCAACTTCACAGAGACTTTTCATTCACTTGTTTTGTGGTGTTGGGGGGCCTTGTGCATGCTAAGCAAGCCCTTGACCACTGATCAAAAGACAGTCTTTTATTTTTTGTTTCTGGTTTGTTAATTTTTACCTAAAATTCTTCAAAGTGACTAATGTGCTTATCACATGCAATACATAAAACAGATAACATTATTTATTAGTATGGCTAATACAAATTAATTGCTAATGGCATGGAATATATGTTGGGAAAATGTTAGGAAATGGAAAGACTTGGAAAAATTATATTAAGTGAAGTGTATATAATAAACCATTATATCAATATTCCAAAAATTATACTAAACATAAATTTATTTAATTAAGTAAACTTAAAATTAATTGGATTCTACAATCAAGAAAGAAAAACTCAAGTATATCAAGATTTTTAAAGTCTAAGAAGTATTTAAGATAGATCAATTAAAATTAGTATCTAAAGAGCCAACTAAATTGATCTTGGCAGAGTTGCACATAACAATGGATATAAATGCTTGTACTATAACATAACCCCAGTGCTCTGTGAATTGTATGGAAAGCATCTTTAGATTACTAATCTTTTCATATTCAATCAAAAATTGATTTTGTACAGTGTAACTATAATGTCAGTGAATTGAATATTTTTTCAACAGTAAGTAAATGTTGATAAGAAGTGTCCATGTGCTGACTTTGAGTGTCATTATAATTGAGAGATTCAACGAAATATATTTAGACACTTCTTACACTAATGTGCAGTAAGTTACTGGGAGATATTTCAAAATTCTAGAGTGGAAACGAAATGAAATTCTGAAGAAAATGTGATTCAATTCCCATAAATGGCTGAATGATGCATTTTAAATGTTTATATTTAGTTTATAATTTGTAATGAAATTTCATAGAAGCATGTGTGTGTGTGTGTGTGTGTGTGTGTGTGTTTGTGTGTGTGTGTATGTCTATCCACACACAAAAGAAAATTTTTCTCTCCTTAAAGTAGTAGATGTATGTGGCAGGTTTATGAAAATGGAGTCACCATGGAGAAACAGAATGAAGCTGTCATCTTTCCAATACAAGTAGCTTTTAAAATCATGATTTCTCAATGTGATATCACACTACCAAAAGTTCTACAAGATTTTGATATTTTTTCCTTGAAAGACAAATCTACCCCCAACATCCTTAATGACAAAAAAGCCAAACAATGCTAGCTTAATATCTAAACTCAACTATAAAAACTTAAATATTCTTTTAGAAACAAATGATCAAAGAATTCAATATGATCCACAGGGTGAGTTGGGGGGAGGGGGCAAGGGAGGAACATTGAATCACAGAATATAATTAAATAAAAACTAATGCTGTTAATTTTAGAAATAATTTAATTTTCTCATATCAAAGAAGAAGACAATTAAAGAAAGAGAAAAAAACTAGCTTTGAGAAGCTGAATCCACATTTTGGGGCAGGGCTGGTGGTTGGTATCCTACCCCCTATCTGCAAAAGAATGTCTGCTAGCATTGAGGTTCATCAATTCATTTGTGATTTCTAAATTAATTCTGAAGGAAACCACAACTTACTTGAAGATCCCGCTGAGTGTTTGTGTGCCTGACTTTTTTTCTCTCTTTTCACAGACAAAGCACTTCCACTGGTCATGGAAAAAAAGTCTAAATCCATGTCTTCTCTGCTTACAAGTCTTGCCTGGGAGCAATGGGAGAGAATGTATACAATCATGAAACAAAATATGGCATTTTCTGAATGCAGCTCACATTACCCCCAAATAAACAAACAGGCTCTGTCAAACAACCTTCTTCAAAATGATACCACAATCCTTTACTGCTGCCCAGGCAGAACAAATGCACTATGTCAAAGCATTTTTTGCAAATAAGAGCCGATTTTAAAATTGAGGTTTGCTATTTGAGTCCGTACAACAAAAGAAAACATTTTAGTACTGTAATTTTGATGAAAATCAATCTCAAAAGCAGCTGGTGAAACTTTAAACAGCTTAGCATCACTTACTTACTGAGTATATTATTTAATTCTTCATTGAATGTTAGAAATGTCAGACTAGATTTTCTGTCATATTTATATTTACCACTTGTTAGTATTAGTCTTATTAACAAAATTCCTTGAAATGCATTTTATTCCACATTTGTGTACTCTAAAGTGACAGATGATCGCCACCTTTTCCTTATAACCATTGTCAGTCTAAAAATATTATATTGGAGGTCTAATTTGGAAATAATGTTAAGTGCTTAGAAATTTAAGATATCTTGTTTAGGACATGGATTAAATAATTTATTTCATCTGAAATCATGTCTGTGCTTTCATCATTATCGTAGACAGAGCACAAGAGTCAAAAAAATCACTTCTTACCTACAAAATAATCTTGTTTTACAGAATGTCTAATATTATTATGTGAGGATTTATCAGAGTTCAGTTCTCAAGTGGGAGAAAATGTCATTATGGAAATCAATGCTGCCTCTAAGTGATTGGGATTTAACCCAAACCACAGCATGCTTGAAATCCTGTGAAACAACATTTTCCTAAATGTTTGATGTGAAGAAAATTTAAATACAGCAAAGGAAAGACACAAGCTACCACTGTGGTTACAAAGCTCTGTCCATGTGATGAGCTACAAAGACTCAAGGACCCAGAGCCTAAAAGGTAACCTATTTGAAATTCAGATATTTATTCTTTACATTTCTCTTCCCACCTCCTCCCTACTCTCCTACAAAGGAATGGATAAATTAATTTGTATTCACCACAATTATTTATTATTTTAATGAGTGAAAAATAGATTCATTCTGAACATATAGAGTATTTGAACTATGAATACACAGTGAAATAGCCGTATTAAGCTAATTATAATATAAATTGTATCACTTTGTACTTATTTATACTTTGTTGCCTATTCTGAGGTTTGAACTGAGTATCTTATGCTACTATTCTGCGTTTATGCTTAGAGCAGGTACTCTACCACTTGAACCAGACCTGCAGTCTGGCATTTGGATAGTGAAAAAGAGATAGAGTCTTACGGTTTTCTGCCTTGGCTAACACTAAAGTGAAGTCCTTCATGTTAAGTAGCTAGGATTATAGGCTTGATGCTTGGCTATTTATCATTTTTAAATAAGTGTTGTTATCAATGAATTCAGAAGAGAAACTTTAAAAAATGTGTGTGTGTGTGTGTGTGTGTGTGTGTGTGTGTGTGTGGTCCTAGGGCTTGAATGCAGGGTCTGAGTACTGTCCTTGAGTTTTTGTGTTCAAAGCTAGTGCTTTACCACCTGAACCATAGCTCCACTTCAGGCTTTTGGGTTGGTTAATTAGATGTAAGAGTTTCATGGATTTTCCTGCCTAGGCTGGCTTCTGACAGTGATCCCCAGATCTCAACTTCCTGATTAGCTAGGATTATAGGCATAAGCCACTAGTGTCTAGTCATAATGGTATTTTTTAAAAATGGAATTTACCAAATGCTATAATTGTACTGTCAAAATACACTATTAGAGAACTGTTTAAAATAAGATAAAAATTGGCTTCCAGTTTACAGGTGATTTTTATAAAAAACCTGACAGATTCTTCTGAAGTTTATGTGAATTGCCAAAATATTAAATGTGTAATATATTCCTATCAGAATGGCTCTTTCAATGTTAAGACATTAAAAATAAAGACAAGATTAAAGCAATGCTTCAATTTACATGAAACTAGACAAGTAATATGCACAATACTTAACTACATAGGAAACCCTATGCTCATTAAGGAAAGTGTAATTATACTCCTTAGAATTCAAGGAATGAGATTTATTCATTCCAAACTGATGGCATAATATCACTACACTTATTAGAAAATAGAAAGCCCATCCGTCCTTCCTTAAATAGGATGATAATTACATATTTCCAGAGCATACTTCTATTGGTTCACTTGCTCCAACTAGGCACCATTTCTTTATCTCCACCACTTCACCAGATTTCCCAGTATGAGGGATCCATTAAAGGGTTGATCCATTGGCAAGGCCACAGTCCTCAGTATCCAATCAGTTCCCAGAGCCTATCCTTTGGTAGCCAAGGCTACAACCCATGGGGCTTCTGGGACCCTATCAACTTCAGATCCTAACATACATTGGACATTTTATAAATGGATGAATTATATGTCTATCAGTTCATCTGGTATAGCCATACAGCATCACATTCATATTCTATTTCTGAAAATATTAGCTTTCAAGGGAGCATCATTCTTCTCATATGGTTAATTGATAAAGAAAATATTATCTTGTCTTCTATATCATGGTGATGGGTGGAATATGAAGTGTCCAACCAAACGACCCATGTGTTGAATGGCTGGTCCCCAGCTGGTAGATCCAGTCTTTAGAAGTGCTTGGATAATGAAGGTACTAACCAAATCAACAGATTAATCCACAGACGGATTCACGATTGATGGCATTATTAGAGTGGTGGAAAGTTTTGGAGAGACTAGTTGGATGCAGTGTTCCATTCAGGGCATGTATTTGGGGGCTGAATGTTTTCCTGGGCCACTTCTTTCTCTGTGTTTCCTGACTACCATATATCAGGTTCACAGCTTTCCTTTGCAATGATTGATTTACTCATCACAAGCCCAGGAACACCGTACCAAATGACCTTGGAATGAAGTCTTTGAAACAATGAGATGAAATAAATCTTTCTTGCTGTAATTTGTTTCTCTCAAGTACTTGCCACACTGCTTAAAAATTGACAGACATAATCATACAAAAATGAACCATTGTTCCTTTGTATCATTGGACTCTAGTTACTCCATGGACACCGAGGATATTAAAGTCCCTTTTGCAAAATCACGTAGTATCTTCTTATATAGCACACAATCCTCTTTTCCATTTTAAATCATCTATATATTACTTGTAACATCAAGTATAATGTAAATGCTGGTAAATAATTTTTATATCATATTGTATATGATATTACTGACAAGAAAAACTGTCTGCCAAATACTCAATATGACATTTGGTTTCATTCCTTTCTCCTTCCCTCCCTCCCTCCTTCCCTCTCTTCCTTCCTTCCTTCCCTCACTTCCTTTCCCTTCTTCTTCCTTCCCATTCTCCTCCTTTCCCTCCCACTTTCCTCCCTCTCTCTCTCCCTCCCCTTTCTTCCTTTATTTCTCCTACCCCTGCCTGGCAAGCTTAAGATTTCCAGTTCAACCACAAGTAATGAGAAAAAAGAAAAGTTTATAATGAAGATGATGATTTTTTTTAACCTAGTGATCTCATAGCCATTGTAACTATTGCAAGCAATTGCTCATTTGTTTGTAGTGAAGTTGTTGCAAGAAATTCTACTGAAGGGCTGGGAAGGTGGCTCAGTGGTAGAGCGCATGCCTTGCATGCCAGAGGCCCTGGGTTCGATTCCTCAGCACCACATAAGCAAAAAGAAAAAAGCCGGAAGTGGCGCTGTGGGTCAAGTGGTAGAGTGAGAGCCTTGACCTGAAGAGCTGAGGGACAGCGCCCAGGGCCCAGAGTTCAGGCCCCGTGATTGGACCCAAAAAAAAAAAAAAGAAAAAAAATGAAATTCTACTGAATACTCTATCACATGAAAGCACAGCAATATGTTTATGCATCATGTACAGAACTTGACAATGTTAATAATATTATGATAGCTATTGTTTTATATGTTCTCAAATCTATACCTAATAGCATATTATTTTAGAGTAAACTTCTACTTAGAAATTAGAGGCTTAGCCTCTCACCAATGGCTCATACTTGTAATTCTAGCTACTTGGGAGGCTGAGATCAGTCAGACCAAGCAGAAAAACCTCGATTAACCCCCAGAAAACTGGAAGTGGCACTGTGGCTTGTTGGTAGAGTGCTAGCCTTGAGTGAAAAAGCTCAAGGACAGTGCCCAGGCCCTGAGTTCAAACACCATCATGACTGTCAAAAAAACAAAAACAAAGCAAAGCAAAACAAAACAAAAGAAGCTTACTGTAAAATGTTCAAGTGTCAAAATCTCAGAAGATATTTTCTGAATAACCTGAAATGAGACTGATGCGTTTGGGTAAATACATTTAATTCAACCAGAGTACAACTGTTTGTATCCTTGACTTGTATTCTGATATATTTTGAAATGCAATAAAAATGATAATCTGTTTCCATAACATAGCTTCCTGAATATCATATTCTTTTCTCTTTATTGTGCTTTAGTAAACAGTATTTTAATGGTATTCATATTTATCTTTGTGGTTAAGAACTTCATTGTCTTTAAATTGTTTCTGATATGAAGTCAGCTGAAAATCGACTTGTAGTTCTTCTGTAGGCCACTAACTCTTGTATATAGTTTACATTTAAATGATAATTTTTATTTCTAGAATTTACACTTTCTTCATTGGCAGATCCAGCTTTGTTCACTTTGATCATTTTTATTCCATGAAAATGTTGTCTTTTTGCTGAAGCCAGTGGCTCACATCTATAATCCTTCCTTGCTACTCAGGAGACTGAGATCTGAGGATTGAGGTTTGAAACTAGTTTGGGCAGGATAGAATGTGAGACTCAACTCCTATTCACCACCAAAAGTTGGAACTGGAGCTGTTTCTCAAGTGGTAAAGTTCCACCCTTGAATGAAATAGCTCAGGGACTCTGAGTTCAAGCCCCAGAATGGACATAACATTTATCCTTTTATCATGGATATTCGTATATCCTTAAGCATCTTAAACCAGCAGAAATTGCAGTCATTTGTGTTCATCTTTCTTCTTTAGTTAGGATCTGGTCCCAGCTGGGAAAATACCCAAGCCCACTTTCTTGGAATAAATGGGGAAAATTGTACTTTTATTTTGTAACACCTTGCAAAATACTTTCTGTGAGGCTCCAGTCAGCCCTGACATCCTTTATTTCTTAGAATGGTGATCTCAAATTTACTTCTTAATATAAATATTTTTTTGATTTGACAATTTGGGAGGATATGTGGCTGTTTTCTGAAATTATAGTCTACATATTCTTTTCTCAAAAATTATAAAAACAATCCTTAAACAACTTCCCATCCAGACTGACATCATTTGAAAATGGTAGTACGCTATTAGTTTTACATGTCAAATAAAATTAATGTTTTAAGCACAATTTTAAATTGTAAAGTTATAGTATAAGTGAAGACATGGTATTATTATTTTAATGCATGATATTTGTTAAATTACCCAATAAAGATAGAGTTGTGATGTTTCCATGGTTCAAACTAATGTGGGTGTATTTTAAAAAGCTAGTTATTAAGCACTGATGTCTACAACATTTTTCAATAGCTTTAAACATATTTCTTACCACAAGTTGAACTCTTCTACCATTTAGTACATCTGGATCTAACTCAGGCAAGAAGTGATCGCTACACAATGAAAAAAGGAAATATTATAATGTAAATGTGAAGGAATATGAAGGAAATGTCCAAAGGAAACAAACTTGGAGTTAGGACTATGTATAGAGTGAAAATACTAGTTCTTTATAAATTAGGTTATACATAAAGTTAAACACAAATTCACATCTTTCAATAGTTATCCAAATTACATAAAATAACAATTTGGTACAATCCCCCCCCCAACCCCTTTTATTAAGTTCTGGTCCTGGGCCTTAAATACTGGGCCTGGGCACTGTCCTTGAGATTTTTGGCTCAAGGCTAATTCTCTCCCACTTGATCCACAGTGCCACTCCAGGCTTTTTTTTTTAAAAATTGTGAAAATACCGTACAGAGGGGTTACAGTTACATGGGTAAGGTAATGAGTACATTTCTTATCAAGCATTGTTGCCTCCTCCTTTGTTTCCCCTTCCCATCCCTTCCCATCTTTTTTGATGCTTAATAGTAGATAGTCTCATAGACTTTCCCATGTAGGCTGGCTTTGAAACTGTATCCTCAGATCTCAGCCTCCAGAGTAGCTAGGATTATATGAGTGAGCCACCAGCACCAGCAATGCCACCTTCGTTTTGAAATATAACCAAAGGAAAAAAGCTGCAAGATGTAACAATTATGGTTAGTAAATAGGAGAAATCTTGAATATTTTGCTTCTGCATATATGTTGTCATTTCACAAATACAAAGCTTCTTATTAAAAAATAGCTCTAGGGTATTTATTGCATTTAATGAATGTGATGAGCTCCTATAGTGACAGTATAGTGACATTTTACTTCCTGTCCCCCACCCCCACCCCCAGTCCTGGGGCTGTCACTGAGCTTCTTTGTAATCCAGACTAGCACTCTACTACTTGAGCCTTAGCACCACATCTGGCCTTTTCTGAGCAGTTTACTGGAGCTAAGAGTCTCACAGACTTTTCTGCCCAGGTTGGCTTGTTGAACCTTAATCCTCAGATCTCAGCCTCTTGAGTAGCCTCCGGCCTCTGGCTGACATTTGACTTTTAAAAAACATCTGCCTTTTGAAAACAGTTTTTCTTAAAATATTAAAATCTATTCCTTAATATTTTATACTTTTCCCCCCCAGTCCTGGGGCTTGAACTCAGGGCCTAGGTGCTGTCTCTGACTGCTTTTGCTAGCACGCTACCACCTGAGCCACAGCACTACTTCTGGCTTTTTCTGTTTATGTGGCATTGAGGAATCGAACCCAGAGCTTCATGCATTCTATATCTCTATCACTAAGCATGTACTCTACTACTAAGCCACATACCCTGCCCTGCTATTATGTTTTCAACATAGAAATCACATGAACAAATGATTATTGTTCCATTAATTCAAATAAAGAATTCTTAGTAAGTGATGTTACTAAATGTTTGAGTATATCTAAAATTGATACTGAAAATATTTGTTCTTTTTTATATTATGTTACATCTATACTTTTGGCTTTTTGCAGAAGACCCTATGGCTTAATATAGGTGGGTAGTGATGAACTCTACAATATTTATAGTTCTAAAAATGCTCTTTGAATTTTAAGCAAAATTGCTAAGTACACACATAAAAATTGTATTTGAATACAAATAAAAACTATATATAAAAGTAAAAATTCTCACATACTTTGTTTCTATATTCCTTTTCACAATAAAATAGGATATAATTCAGACTATAAAATATTTAATTCCATTATCATTTTTGCTTTCATATTAGTCCCATCTTTTAAGAGGATTTAAATGGATAAAATTCATCATAATAAATGGATTAATCTAGAATTTTAACTGTTAAATTTATAAATAACAAAAACTAAAATATAAAATATAATACATATATATACTTAGAAAATTTGTATAATTATCATACTTTTACTTTATAAATCAGAATGATTTGTATAGCTCATCTTTTCATTTTATGCATTACAGAATTGAGCTCTTCTCAAATATTTCATGGTGAAAATACAAAGAACAATTAAATTGATTCTATGAGAAAGGCCCTTTTATAACCTGGCAACGTGGTGTGTTTGCCTTTGGCTATAAAGTCTTGTTTGTTTTAGCACAATTAACCTAGGTTTCACTTTTCAAGATATGTTTACAATACAAAAATCTAATTTAAAGGAAATGACCTCACCATTTCATATTTCTGGAACTAGTTGTTCCTTGAATCCCAACTTGTGTGTGAAGCCATTGGTATGTGTATTCTCTTCTCCGTTCTAATCTTTCATTTGCAGAGGTGTCCTTGTGAATTAAGTCTTCTTCCTTAGCTGGGGAAGCAGTATGGTATATCTGTTACTTGAAGAGAGCAAATCTTCACAGACAATTCCACTGAGGATAAAAATTTCATCCTAAGAAACTGACTAAATCACAGTGACTAAATCGTCTGTAGGAAAAATATTGTCAGTTACTTAAAATTACATTTTCTACTTGAGCTTAAACCCCCCTAATTTGAAAAATGAAGGAAGTGATTCAATATATCTATCATTTAAGAATGCAAGGACTTTAGTTTTCAATTAGGAAATTTAGTTATTTTTATAAGACAGTAGCATTATTCTAATATGAAAAGTATATATATATGTTATATAAGGTGTAGTTCATTACTAGTGTACATTAACTACATAAAATAATAAGTTTCTTTCTGTGTCACTGTTAAGTTCTCATACATGCCTAACACATGGTAATCATATATGTCATATTTCAGGGAACATTGCTTATGATTCATTTCAATGACATGAAAGTATTATAAAGACATAAGTATGGAAAACATAGAAGATGGGAAAGTTACATTATATACACACGCACACACACATATATAATTTTAATGAAGGAAAAATGAAATTAAATCTTCAAAGTATAAAGACTGATGATCGATAGAGACCCAGGTTAGAGATTCACCTATGCTTAATATATTGAATATACCCTTATGACAAGTGTACTTTAGTTAAAAATCATCTCTGCCTTTGCTTTTAAATAGTGGCATATTCTAGCAACAGTTACTTTTTAAAACACTTGTGTTTTGAATGTTTTCTTCAAGTCTACAATAACACTTCATAAACCTTAAGTGGCTTTTACATCAGAACACAGACAATGTTCTGAACAATTCCCAAAGTAAAGAGGAAAGATTTCACTCCAAGGATCCAATTAATATTAATCATTTTATTCCAAAAGCATAGATTGGTGTGTAGAGAGAATAATGAAGACCTGGATTATTTGTTAGGTATTCATTTAGTCAGCATATTTAGTAAAGCTCTCCTTTCAGTAGTAAAGAAAGCATCATTCGGTCTGAAGACTGATAAAGCCTTAACCTATGTCCTTTCCTACTTCTCTATTCTTGCTTATTTTCTCAATCAGGAACCGGAGAAAAAAGTTTTATGTGTTTGAGTGTGTTTGTGTGTGCGTGACATGCCAATATTAGTACTTAAATAGGGCCTAGGCACTATCCATTAGCTTTTTTGCTCAAGGCTAAAGCTCTGCCTCTTAAGTCACAGCTCCACTTCCAGCTATTGGAGGTAGAGTCTCACAGACTTTTCTGCCTGGGCTGGCATTGAGCTGTCTGTGAACCTCAGATCTCAACCCTCTAAATCACCAGCATTACAAGGTAAGCCAATAGCATCTGGCAAATGACTTTTGCTATCTTTGCTATAGTATTCTTTGTATATGCTTCTTTATTTATAAATACAAATTATTTATTTATAAGAAAATAATTTTGTAAGACTTCTTATTTTACATATCTCTGCAACCTGACATAGACTCTGAGCATTAATTCATTGTAAAAGGTAATTCTGTGTTCAAATGTCTATTCATTTATAAAATACATTGTAATCAGTCATATCTTTCATCCTTTTCTTTCCTTTTTCTTTCTCACATAGTGTGTCATCAAAGTCCCTTGCTCCATTTCCACAGGTATATGCAGATTATTCTGACCAAATTCCCCCTTCTTCCTCCTCTCCATTTGTCTGTCTTCCCACTAGTACTAACGCCCAGCTCCAGACATGTTTCAATTTCAGCATGTTCCTTTTTTGCTTCTTAATATTTTCTTTCTCTTTTCTTTTTCTTTTTCCTTCCCTTTTTATTTCTTAACTTTCCTTCCTTTTCTCTTTCTTAACCTTTCTTTCTTCCTTTGTGTAGGTGAGACTTGAATTCAGAGGCAATCCATCTTGTTATTATTGTTTTTTCCTTCTTAATGGCCAGCATTCTACCACTTGAGCTATGACCTCCACTTTCTGACTCTTTGTTGGAGATAGGAGTTTCTCACATTTGTCTCCCCAGACTATTTTAGACCCCTGAGCCTCAGATCTCAGCAGGCTGAGTGGCCAACATTATAAGCATGAATCACTGGACCCCAGGCTTCATTTTGTTTTAAACTAAGCATAAGTTCTTTCTCTGCTATTTCTAGTATAAGTATATTCCCTTCCCTATTGATTTTTGTTTCTACTGTACTTTTTAAAAGTAAATCTTAGCCAGGTGCCAGTGGCTCACACCTGTAATTCTAGCTACTCAGGAGGCTGAGATCTGAGGATCATGGTTCAAAGCCAGCCTGAAGTAGGAAAGTTAATGAGACTCTTATCTCCAATTAACCACCAGAAAACAGGAAGTAGTGCTGTGTCTAAAGTGATAGAGTGTTCACCTTGAGCTGAAGCGCTGAGGGACAGTGCCCAAGCCCAGAGTTCAAGCCCCACAACAGACCAAAAAAAAAGTAAATCCTTTTCTTTAGGCATGCAAATGTACACATATGCTAAATATTTTCCAAACTGTATGGGACCTTGTTTTTATAATTTATGGATCTGTATGACCCAACTTAATATGTTATATAGGACATACAATTTCAGTGGTGAATTCTAGACTCTCCCAATATGTTCACATTCACAATGTCGTTCCTTAAAGAGAAATGGATTCAGTTTCTTTTTGTCACACTTTTCATTCCTTCATTAATTTACCATAATCTGATTTTGCTAAATAGAAATTATACTCCCTAATAAGGTCTGAAATGCACATATTTATTCCCTGTTGACTTCTCTACTGCATTCATTTCCATAGGCCATTTTCTTCAGAGATACTCATAAAACACTTTTCTCTGCAGATCTTTCAGACATCAGATTTGGGGAGTACCTCCTTTCAATTTATATAGTATCTAGACATTGGCACGCCTGATTTTACATGTATTGAAGTACCTCTATTCTATGGTGGGTACTGTGCTTGTTTCTCATAATACTTGGCTAGACAGATAGGGCTTCTTTAATAGAGAACTAGTTATTGTCAACTTCTTACTCCTGAAAGTATCTCACAATTTTATCTGAACTTCAGAAACACACCTTGTACTTATTATCCTCATGTCCCTAAAATCTGATTTGCCTCCTCAATTTCCAAGCTACCGACAGACTTTCTGTAGCTAGCCCTGGCTACTCATTACTTACAAAGAAAACAGATCTGGTTTACCTCCTAGATGCCCCCTCTTTCCCTCTAATCTCTTCCCCCTCATCTATTCCACACCATTTTAATTCAAGTTCAATATGAACAGGAATGAGCAATTTTGTATGGGACATGTGCAGGTACCTTTATTACCTGTTACAACAAGAGCTCTCCATGTCTAAGTCTGAGATCCTCAATGTTCTCCCAGTCTTCTCATATCATCTAGAATGTCTTGCTATCAATGTTTCCCTTTCTTCCACATTTACAGTAATTCTGGGAATGTTTCTAACTCTTCATCCAGCTACTGTCTTGTATTCCCTTTCTTAAGCAGACAAACTTCTTAATAGTAAGCAAAGCTGTGTCTATTGACTTCTTTGACTAATGTCAAGTCCAATATGCCCATGTGGCATCCTCATGATGACTTTTCATTGGACCTGTGCATAAGTCACAGTACTTTCAAGATTTTTTTGAGGTTATTATTTTACTGATTTCTATAGCGTTTTGTATAATGTTATCCTTTCCTGCTTGAGAACCTTGTTTTTCTCTGGGCTTTGTTTTCCCCTGTCTTCTTCTTTCCTCCAATCTTTCTTTCAAGATCCCCTCTTTCTTTGCTATCTCTTTTATACCAAGGCTTTTCTCTGGACTTCTACCCTGGCTTCATCTTATTCTTAGTCTCACTCTCTGTAAGATAATTCCTTTTTGTATTCAGTTCTCCTTGTTCTCTCTTTCTGAGGCAAGCATCTGACGCCTTTTATTCATAGTTTCAATCTAGAATGTTCCCCCAAAGACACAGGTCGAAGGCTTCTCCTCAATGCAGCATTGTTGATAGCTGGCTGGCTTATGAGGGCTCTAATGTCATTATTGGACTGCTCCATTCATATATTCAAACGGAATAGACTATCCGTAGGAGTTGGAATCAGAAGAGGGAAGTAGTTACTGTGGGCTCTTGAAGTGAGTATCTTGTCACTATGCCTATTTGTTCTTTCTACTTCCTGCTTGCCAGAAGGTAAGCTGCTCTTTGCTACCTCATGCTTCCCTCCATGATGTTTTGCCTGACTTCATCCCCAAATGAACAGTCTGAAGTCTATGGATCCTCCATCCTTTGAAATAATTAACTCAGCAATTTTTGTCATAGTGATATAAAAATGACTAGCATACCTCTTCGTGATCCTTAATGTCTCAGCTTCCCCAAAGTAGCTAGGAGTTATTGGTGTGAACTACTGGCAGCCCCAGGCTTAATATTAGTTCTTGGTAACACAATGGTGCTTAGAAGATATTGGTGAAATGTAGGGTCACAGTTGATTAAATCTCTTTGTATTCTTTGAAAAGTAGAGCTAGGTAGTAGAGATTTTTAGCACGTAGACAACTATGCATTATGGGCAATAACATTTCTAAACATAACATTTCTAAACATAGTCGACTTACTTTTTGGGGGGGGGTCAGTTTTGGGGCTTGAACTCGAGGTCTGGGCATTGTCCTCGAACTCTTTTGCTGAAAGATTAGCACTTTATCACTTTGAGCCACAGTGCCATTTCTGGTTTTCTGCTGGTTAACTGGAGATAAGAGTCTCATGGACTTACCTGCTCAGGCTGGCTTTGAACTGTGATCTTCATATTTCAGCCTCCTGAGTAGCTAAGATTACAGGCATGAGCCACTAGGCCTGGTGATTAATTTACTTATAATAGAAGTTTTAGCTTTCAAAGTCATAATTAGATTGGATAAACATGGAAAATTGAAGACAGCAAATTGAAATACAGAACCAAAAAGATTACTCCTAAGATGTACATCATCTTAGAGGAAGTCCGTTTAAGAAGTTCACCAAAAAATGAAATAATTTTAAAATTAATGAAAATATTAT